ACACAAGGCACAAATGGAGGAACCGAATAAAATGTAGTCTTAGATGCGCGCAAGATGCTAACGAAATAATCGAATGAAATGTTAACTTAGAGGTGCGCAAGATATTAACGAAACAATCAAAATGGAATGTTTCTTAAACGCGCACAAGTCACCAACGAAGGAACCGAATAAAATTAGTCTTAGATGCGCGTAAGATACAATGAAACAATCAAATGAAATGCAAAAATTACTAATGATACAACCAAATGAAATGTAACATTAGATGTGCACAAGATACTGATAAAACAATCGAATGAAATGTAATCTTAAGGAGCGCAATATATGAACGAAACAATCGAAACAAAGTAATCTTAAATGTTGGAGAGATACTTACCAAAAAGTAAAAGGAAATATAATCTTCTTGTGCGAGAAATATCAACAAAACAACCGAATAAAATAAAATCCTGAACGTACGCAAGATACAAACGAAAAGAATGTTACCAAAAATGTGCGCAAGATATCAACAAAAACAACCGAATGTTCGGTAAGCTAAACGCAAGATACTAACGAAGGAACCGAATGAAATGTAATCTTAAATGTGCGCAAGATAGAAAGAAACAATCGAATAAAATGTAATCTTAGATGTGTGCAAGATATTAATAATGGTAATTAAACTGAGTGGAGTGCAATTTGGGCTGAAATCATACACGTGATTTCGATTTGAAATCACAATTATCATTTCAGACCAAAATTGCACGACACAAGTTTCAATTACCACTTTATTACATCCATTTTGAAATCGCCCAAATACAGGACTTGGTCAGTACATATATTTTATTGATGCTGTACTGAGTAGGTTTGAAATTAAATTCATCCATTTTTTTTTTTGGGGGGGGGGGGGAATAAGAGTTTTAGAAACAAAAGTTGCAAAATTTGCCACATGATACTCTTTGTCTTTCATTTTCCTGCAATTTTATTGGTTATTTTAAACAAGCCTTGAAAATCTGATGGGTTGTTTTTTTTTTAGTGTAGCCTGCTCATTGGCTGGGAAAAAGATGCGATTTAAAGCAAAAAAAAAGTGCGATTCGTGAATAAATCGCACCAGTTAGAGCCAATTATATTACAGGGATCACCAGTGGTTTCAAAATGGGTGTAATAAACGAAACAATTGAATGAAATACTGTCATCGATGATAGCACAGGATACTTACGAAACAACCGAATAGATTATAGTCTAACATGTACACCTGATATTAATGAAAGAACCAACTGAAATGTAATCCTAAACGTGCACAAGACTCTGAGCGTTACTAGCGAAACAACCGAATGAAATTTAATCTTAAGAGTGCACATAATTTTCACGAAACAATTGAATAAAATGTAAATCTTAGTGTGCACGAGATACTAACGGAAAAACCGAATGAAATGTAATGCAAAGCGTGCGCAGGGTACTAGGGAAACAATGGAATGAAATGTAATCCAAAGCGTTCACAAGACACTAACGAAACGATAATATGAAATGTAACACTTAGAATGGACGAGATACTAAAATATTAAGCGAATGAAATATTCTAAGACTGGAGAAGATACTAACAAAAGAATCAAATTAAACGTAATCCTGAACTTGGGCAAGATAACAACGAAACAATTGATTGAAATGAAATTTAAGAGTGCACATGATATTTACGAAACAATCGAATGAAATGTAGTTCTTTGAGTGCGCGGGATATTAAGGGTAAAAAAAAGGAATTAAAAGTTATTATAAGAATTAGCGAAATGCTATCAAAACTGTCGAATGACTTGTAATCCTACGAGTGCGCAAAATACTAACGAAATAATCGAATGAAATTGTAATGCTGAGAGCACGCGAGATACTATCGAATCAATGGAATGAAAGTGAATCCTAGAAGTTCGCGAGATGCATACGAAACAATTGAATGAAAGTCAATCTTACAGTGCGCGATCTAAGAATCGAATGGAGCGATAGAGAATCCTGAGAATGCTGAAGAAACTAATAAAGCAATGTATAGAAAGTGAATCCTTCGAGTGAGCGAGATACTGGTGCAAGAATGAAATGAAAATCAACTGTACGAGTGAGCGACAACGCAATTGAAACAATAGAATGAAGGGAATCCTATGAATTTGCGTAATACCCATGAAACAATAGAATAAATGTGAACCCTAGAATTGAGCGAGAGACTACTGAGAGAAGAGAATGAAAGAGAATTCTCCTAGTCAACGGGACACTTATGAAACTTTGGAACGAAAAACAATCCTACGGGTACGCGAGATTATAAATGTAACAAAGGCATGAAAGTGAATCCTACACGTGCGCGAGCTAGCAGTTGAAACAAGAGAAGGGCAGTGAATCCTACGGTGCACGTGGTACTGATATGAATCCTTCCTTTTCAATTTTTTTTTCTGCATACATACCAAGGCATCACATTGCAATCATTATGGGAACCAGAAGAACAAAAAAACATCTCTTCAAATTCAAATCCTGTTTTGCAATAAAAATCACACGTAGTTCAGGCGACCACTGAGTGACAGAAAAGTGGAATATTCTGAAATGTGGAATAGCCGACTGAGATCCTAAATGTGGAATGACCGAAATGTCCTAAAACATGAAGTGACAGGATGTTCTAAAACACAGAACACCAGAATATGCTAAAAAAGTACAATGATTGAATATTCGAATGATTAAAATGACCTGTTAGTGAATCTTTATATGGGGGTCCAAGCCATAAGGCTTCGAGTTGGAAAATGAAAATAGTATCTGACTCTTGTTCTTCTGTTTCTGCGTAGGTTGTTAAATCCAATAGAAGTGCTTCTTTGTAAATAGAAAGTTTTTGAAAAGGAGGAGAATTTAAACCATCACTCAGCAGATGAAATTAGAAATAGGATTATGAGAAAAACTAACCGCACCGCAGTGGATTGGTCATTCCATAATTTAGAATATTTCGTCATCTTACGCTTTCAAATATTCCGTCATTTTGTGTTTAGAATATTCCTTCATTCCGCGTTTTAGAATTTCAGGATATTACGTCGTTCCTCCATTCCTTTATTCATAAAAATAGTGCTAGCCAACAGTTCGGCTTAAAAAGAGCTTTTATGATAAGTAATTTTATGATATACACTCCCATTAAAGACGAGTCATATTATGTATGCATATAGCAAATTGTAGACCAGAATAAAGGAGTACTAAGCCGCATTTGTGTTCATATTAGCCACATTCCAAACACGTGCTACCTGCAAAGTATCCCTTACCTCATAATCGCCTCCAATTCCTTTCCAGCTGTCCGAATTACGTTTAAAATCTCTTACAAAACACATCGGATGGTGTTTGCTCCTGCAAACCATCTTTAGGGGCTCTCAAAATCATTTCGTTTCATTCCTTCTTCGCTTCAAAATCCGCTTCATTACCTGACTGCCTGCTCGCCATTGCTACTGTGATTTGCTCTGATTTGCTTTGTCTTTCCTCATATACCCGACGCTAAGTGTCTCGGCTGCAAATCAATTACTGATCGGTAGATTTTAAAACACATCGGATGGTGTTTGCTCCTGCAAACTATCTTTAGGAGCTCTCAAAACCCTTTCGATTCATTGCTTCATTGCTTCAAAATCCGCTTCACTACCCAACTGCCTGCTCGCCATTGCTATTGTGATTTGCTTTGTCTTTCCTCATATACCTGACGCTAGGTGTCTCGGCTGCAAATCAATTACTGATCGGTAGATTTTAAAACACATCGGATGGTGTTTGCTCCTGCAAACTATCTTTAGGAGCTCTCAAAATCCTTTCAATTCATTGCTTCATCGCTTCAAAATCCGCTTCACTACCCGACTGCCTGCTCGCCATTGTTATTGTGATTTGCTTTGATTTGCTTAGTTTTTCCTCATATACCCGACGCTAAGTGTCTTGGCTGCAAATCAATCACTGATCGATAGATTTTCTCCACTACTTTCCGACCAAATTTGGCACAAATTGGATGTCATGAAATCGTACAAATCCTAGGCGCTTTACCAATATCTTGATTGATACTGTGTGAAATAATAATACTTTAGTTGCTGAATCCTTCAACGCGTAGGGTGAAATAAATATGTTTTTAGTCAGCGTTCGTTATAACCCTCTTGATACATATGCACCTTTGAAAATACGATCGTTTTCAAACGAATACTTTTATGAATTTGACATACCTTACAAACTATATCTTTAACCTGCCATTGATTCCAAGTCATTGCCGAGCAAACCTTGTTGAGGAGAAGTGATCATCGATATCGTAACAGTTCTACCATATCAATATTAGTAAACTGCGCTTTGATCGTCCTTTTCAATAATTTCTTAAATCTTCGAAAATAGTAGAAAAAAGTAGTGAGTTGAGTTGCTTTTAATTCTTATGTTGTTTATCTTCTTTGGCAATTTAGTAGGCAATGTGCTACAATTCAAAGAGTAGCCCAACCATAAAGTTTGTACATTGAAAGATGAGTTTCTTTATTTTTTATTATAAGGAGAGACACCTCCAAAAAGTGGACAAAAATAAAACATCGATTTTTTCCCAATTGCTTCCAATCTGAAGCATGTGATCTACTTATTCATGTGTAGGAACCAGAGCGACCCTTGGCTCCTAAATCAATTAAGGAGCTTTATTAATTTTTTTGCCATGCCAATCTTTCTCGCCCATTTGGATTGATGAAAGACGAAGAGGGAAAGGAAGAGATAAAAAAAAGAAACAAAAAACAAAAAACAGATTGAAGGAAGGGTAAAAAGAACAAAAACTTAAAATATAAGAAATATATGAAAACAAAAACCAACACTTCGCTAATGGATAATTTACACCCTGCTGACGTTTTCATTAATCACTCTAACTCAATAATTGTTTTCTCATTTCCCAGCTGGTTAGTATGCAAATGAACCGAACCTTACCCGGAAGGTCACGGGGTAATGAGGTAATAATTCCAAATCAAATCTTTGTTCTCTGAAAATTTAAGCGAGTCCCTGACATCAGGGTTTGTCATAATCCGAGAGATTCAGAGGAGCTAGAACCTCAAGGTAAGTAAAATTGCCTAAAAGTTTTATGTTTAAGGTAATTAGCCTTCTGTGGGTATCGTCATTTTTAAAGTTTATAGTTTTCTTATTTTTGACACTTGGACATTTAATACCCAAATTTTTGCAAAATTTTTGTTTTGTGTTAAATTAAGTTGTACTTTTAACTTACCACTGATTCGAAGTCACTTCCGAAGGGTCTTTGTTACGGGGAAATGATCACCGATATCTTACTAACAGCCTAAAAACGCTAGCTGATCATTTGTTTTTCATTTGTTTAAAAAAAAAAGGTTTAACTGAAATTTTTATGTATTTTTTAAAACAGTTCCCTAATCACCTCATGTTAACACGTTTTGGTTCGCATTCTGTGGCATATGCATTTTTTTCCCCGCAGATTGTACTTCGAAAAGCAGAATAATGCATGTCCCTTTGGTGTTTCTTGTTTTTGTGTTATACACATTTAAAGAAACATGTGAGGCTTCAGTAGCCGAGAATTCTGGACTAGGAAAAGTGATAGATCTTCGAAAGGTCAACATACTGGCCGACTTTCAGGAGCAAGAGAACAGGATCTTTGAGGAGCTCCCCCCGAAATGTCTCGTAAAGAAAACTTTGAAGTCTTCAAGCAGCCACTTCGAATATTATGCAAATACCAAGGAATTTTATAAATCACTTGCCACCCAGTCAAGCTTGAGCGCCTCTTTACAGTCCGCCTACTCGTTGGGTGTTACTGTATCAGTAGCAACAAAGAGCAAAAGTTCACAGAACACGGAAGTGAGTGGCATGTCTTTAATCAAGCAGGCGTTAACAGAAAAGATCTATGTCGATAAAGAATGTCTTCTGAATGACATCACCGACTTGAAGGAAACATTTCTGAGTGACCTGGAGGACTTGCCCGTAAACATCCAAAATCCTTGGGAACCAAACTCATGGAGAGAGTATTATGATTTTCTTAAGGAATACGGCTCTCATGCCATAACGTCTGTGAAGCGCGGATCAAGATTTCAGCAGATGACATTCGCAGAGAGCTCTAAGACCTACACTGAAAGAGATTTCCAAGTAAAAGCTTGCATTTCGGTCGCAGGACCTTCCCAGGTTGGAAAGGTTGGCGTTTCCGCATGTTCAAACGTAAGCCAAAGTGAGATATCCAAAGCAAAAGAGATGAAAACAAGCAAGAAACGCTTTGTCATAGGTGGAAAAAGGGAAACAAATAGCAAGCTGGCAAACGAAGCGACGTCGGTTGAATTGCTTGGCCAACTCATGAATGAAGCAGATGAATTTCCAGCGTCTGTTCAGCACACCTTCATGGCGATCTGGACCATCCTAAAGAGCCGATTTAAACAGGGGTCTCCTAACAATATCCGAGCCACAAACCTGGAGTACTACTACCTTGGGTTCTTGAATTATGGTTGTCCATACATAAGTAACTCTGGACTTGCCGTACAAAAGTTTGACCATACCAGTAGCTCCAGAGATAGCTCCAAGTATCCAGAATTCGAGTGTACCCTGGCAAAAGAGGGCTGCCACAATGATGATGACTGTCACTACAAACCCGTTTGGTGCTCCTGTCGTGGTCCAACATGTGTCCATTACAAGAAAGTCAAGCAAGGTGCAGGTGACTCTAAGGTAACTGCATACCCAAACACATCAGAAGATTGGGGGTGGCATGGTTGCGATTGGAAAGTTGCGGGATCTTGGTGCAAGTGCTATAATAAAAATCGTGATCAGCGGAGAACTGTGTGGCGCATGCCAAACAGAGATGCCGCTACACATAAAGCAGCAACCAAAACCGCTGACCAAAAGGGCGGAAGATTACTGTTTCGAAAGTACACCGCTGGACAACAGAATTGAAAAACAAAAGAAACTTAAATTTTGACGCACTTAGATAACTTACGTAATTACTGAAATTTGGCACATTTAAAGTTAGAACTATGCGTGTGTCTCATTGTGCTTGAATAAAGGATTGAATGTGTCACTACATTTCATAGCACCCACGCCTTGTTGTGCAGAGCTCGTACTGAAAAGCTGTTTTCCGGAGAATGAGAGAGAGAGACAGAAATAACTACTCTTAAAATGTAGTATCGATTAAGATTGATCTAAAGGGCATTGACTGAAAACTCATCCAGGTTTGCCTGATTGAATGTTTCGTAAAAGAGGGCATAATAGCGAAATAAATGAAAAATAGAATAATCGCTGAAAGGATTTGTCGTCTCCTATGATACGCTCGAGCTTAAGCAAGATCCAGATAGATTTCCCTTCCTTTATTTAGATCCTTTTAACCTGAAAAATGGCTGAAAGCCATTTCCGAGTTAATATTACGACCCCTTAAACATAGAGGGCAAAATTACTAAATGCTGATCGGCTTAGACAAAGGGTATTTATCGCGATCGGACGTTATTTCAAGAGAATTTTAACGCTGACTAATACAAGATTACAAGAGTTGTGAGAAATTTGTTACTGTCAACGGAGAGTTTTCACAGTGTTCTACGTCATCACCCGTTAACTCGTTACCAATTTATGGGACACCTTTAAGACAAAATGAAAGCACTTGAGGGCCCAAAACAAACCGAGCCCTATGTTTTTTTTTATTTTTCTTCAGTTGAAATTGGTTTTTACATTTGTACACTCCTTAAAATTGAAAATATTCAAAAAGGTTTAACTTTGCCTAAAAGTATTATAGTTTCTTTGATGGCGAATGTTTTTTAGCAGGGCTGGTTTCACTGCTTTAACGTCGTGTTACAAAATTAAAATTTCACTCAGCTGATTCGTGCGTTTTACAGTTAGTCGACGCTAACTGGACACAAGTGATATTTGTCTTGAATTTACTCAGTCCATGCGATTACTTATGCAAATTCACTCCTTCTGTTCCTCCTCCCTACCAGTTTATTTTCCGAGGTCATTAGCTCGCAGTCGCTAAGTTGATTATTAGTTTTTTCTCTTTGTTATCTTCTTTTTTAATGATTGCGATCCATGAAATAATTGGGCGTCTATTGATGATTTTTACCTAATATAGTAATAGATACTAAAACTACATGTTTAAAGAAAATTTGAGTGGCAATTGTAAACTGACAACAGAAGTTGAGCGGAGAAGCAAGCCGCGACGAACGCTGACTTTACCGTTAAAAGTCTACTCATTATCTAAGTGGCACATCGTTACTAATAACATATATAATAACAAAGGATTTGGAAGAAGAAAGGAAAATTCATTCTGGGTCGCTATCCAGCGGATAAGTGATAGCAAAACGTTATTCACCAGATAGAGATTTATCCAGTGGATAGTGTTATCCGACCTTCGAACAACCGAGGCCTGGTCCACGTATATTATTCAAGTTATCGGTAACTTCCTCTAAATTGTTTCCAGATTTCTAAGCCTAAAATATGCTAATCTTCCTTTGCAGATTGAACTTACTCTCATAACAATATTTGGAGGGAAAACTGCGCCCATGTTTCTCCTCATTTTGATGACCATGTTCCTGACAGCCATTCCTATTTCGAAGAAGTTGAGGGAAGCAAAGGAACCGAAGCCACAAAGGAAACAGCAGAGTTTTGAAAAGCGATAAACCTTCACAAAACTAACATATTAGAAGATTGTGAAGTACCTCTTCACCATAGCGACCATCACAAAGCGAAGCATCAAGGGCTGATCAAAGAGGAAGGGAGTGCAGAAAAACTGTAACAATGAGATTTATCGTAAACAGAAACATGACGGTGAATCGTCAATCGTTTAAATTTGATTACGTTGATACAGATTGAAATGAAGGACTGAATATCTTAAAAGCAATTTTTAGTTAATGTCTTAGAAAAGTGTGTAGTTATTCATAGTGGTTAAAATATTAAATAAAAACAAATGGTGTCACACATACAATGGAGAAAAATTGGACACTTTCCAAGAAATCCATCAAAGAAAACAAAACTAAAGTTAAGGAAAACTCGAAATTTTCAAAGAAAAATCTTATTCAAATGCGTGTATCCTGCTGATTTCCTATTTTGTGTTCAGATTTATCAGACGATTTTAAAACACCGTGACCCACTTGCTTGTGTGGTTGTTGACAAATTGATTCTGTTACCCTGAAGGCTCGCTACCTTTCCACTACTACGCACGCGCATGCCCAGATACGCGTTCGAGCCTCACCTAGTGTTTTAGCTTCTTATTCAACACTTTTTAAAGAGATTGAAAAAAGAAAACATATGAAAAAAGAGCTCTTTATGACGTACATAATTAAACCAGCCCTGGGATAAGCCAAAAAGAAGGATGTTGTTTAGATGAATAACAGTTAAAGGTCTTAGTTTTCTTTTCACTGTCCAATTTAAAGCGTATTGATTTTAAACGCGTACTTTCTGATACGTTGCCGCCTTCTGTCGAAATCAAAACACCCTAAATGCTCCAGATAGAAGTGATCAAATGATTTTCGATGACGTTTTCAAAAGTTTTACTTTAGGTATGTCTGCAGAGGAAACATTTTACGACCAATTTTCAGAGATTCTCTCTTTGAAACCGTATTCGTAAGTCTCCGTTTTCAACAGAGCTTTTAGGCGTTATAGTGAAAACGATAAGCGTATGTTCATTTTAGTCAAAGTTTTACTATTGGACGAAATTTCAATGGAATAACATTTTAGAATCGGTTGGGAGTCGAAGTTTTCCTTTCTAATATTAGCTCTGTATTGCTCGGTTTGCATCTCAATCGTATCAAACGTACCAAAACAAAAAACAAAAAAACAAAAAAAAAAAAAAGCTCAATCAGCACACTTTCTCACGGAATGACCGTTTCTCCTGAGTTGCATCAATTTTAGCGACTTAAACTCCCTGTACTTTTTCTATTTCGAATTTATGTCAAACTCATAACAAAGAACCTATTCTTTAAGGATAGGAAGACTTACAAAAATCCAAGGAACAAATATTCTCTATACACAATACGTTGGTTTTGAAGCACTTCACATCCGTTTTCCAAGCTTGCTTTCTTTTTCAAAATGGTCGATAAAAGGACGTTTTTCTGTACGTGGTTTATATTGTACCATTGGTGCTTTCCTTCCGCAGCCACGGTGAAATTTTTCTCCTAAAGAGATTTTTTCCTGTTAAAGCCTCTGTCCACACGTGAAAGCGGTTTTCGAGCAACAAAAACTGAGGACATGGTTTAATGCTACTCTGGTTTAAAGATTTAATGAATGTAACCGAGAATTTACAATTCAAAGACCCTAATAGGCGAATGGCTATACTAAAACTTTTTTCCGTAACCGCCGAAAACCAATTACAACTAGTGGCACTCCTGATGAGAGGGAACCAGCGACTGGTTTTGCTGTTATTCCCTACATTCACGGTGTTACGGAACCCATAAAGAGAATTTTAAAAAGCCACAACGTTAAAGTTGCTCAAAAACTTTTTTAGACTTTGGGGTATAATTTTGCCAAAGCTAAGGATCATGTCACGAAAGAACAACGAACCGACACTATTTACTCTATCCCGTGCAATGACTGTGATAACAAGTATATCGGACAGACCGAACGTCAGTTTAGTACATGCTTGAAAGAGCATCAAAGAGCGGTAATCTTTTGCAAAAAAGAAAATTCAGCTTTATCGGAGCACACATGCCTAAACAACCATACAACTGGGCGGGATAAGTCTAAAATTATCACCACTAATCGGCGTTGCCACCAGTGCCTTTGTTTGGAAGCCTGGCATATCAACTCCACCCACGCTTCTTTAAATCGTGATGATGGCGGGTTACTTCCTGACACCTATTTGCCCCTAATCAGACAAAAGGGCCTCTTGTTGCAGCGTTTAGATCACCCCTGATGAAGGCGCTAGACAAGAGTGTCGAAACGTTGGGTCTACGAATTGTAACTTCTCGGTTACATTCATTAAATCTTTATACCAGAGTTATACCATGTCTGATTGTGCACCTGGTTGCCATGTGAACTTAAATATATTTTAAAAACTGAGGAGTTAAAGATTGGCCTACGGGGCAAAGTTTTTAAACTACCGTTTTCGTGTTGGTGGACAAAAAAAAACGGAGGTAAAGGTTTCCCAATCCCATCTTAATAAAACATACCTGTTGACCAACGAAAAAGATTCGAATACGCTGTTTGATTGGGTATATATTTAGTATAACGGTGGAAACGGAAGGAAAAAAATCCTCTACCTCTGTAGATTACAACTAGCCATCAAGACTTAGCAGTATTATCCCTTCCTACATACGAGCGGATTTTAACCATTAGTGGTTCAAACCCCAACAGCATCGTGTTACAGATTCGTACAAAATTGTCTCGCGCACAGGAAAAAAAAGTTAGCTGAAAGTACATAAATCTATGTTCTGGGTGGCATCATCGCAAAAATATTATTGACAAAAATAAACAGTTTGAATGCTCTGCTTTGTTTTCATATCTGCGCGTTTACACCGGAGATAAGTGATTATAAATTAAACGCGGACAGAAATTATAATGAAGGCAGGAATTCAAAGAAATACTACCTTTTAGTACCAGTCGGTGACAGATGATATAGTGTTGATACCTCTTCCCCCCTCCAGGTAAGGAGTGGAGGGAGTTTGGACTGGTTGATTAATTATCCTCCTGGATAACTAATCCCGTTTTTACGCATAATTTACCACTCAACACAGATCTAATAAACCTGTCGACACCTCTTCACCCCTCCAGGCAAGCTTTTCCCTCCTGGAGGGAGATTGGACTCGTTGATTAGTTCTCCTCCTGGATAACAAATCCCGTTTTTACACGTAATTTACAACTCAACATAGATCTAATATAACTGTCGACATCTCTTCACCCCTCCAGGCAAGCTTTTCCCTCCTGGAGGGAGTTTGGACTGGTTGATTAGTTCTCCTCCTGGATAATCAATCCCGTTTTTACACGTAATTTACCACTCAACATAGATTTAATATAGTACGATCATCTCATCAGAATTTGATCGCAAAATTGATCGGTGACTTGGCGGGATTGACGGGAAATAACAAGCGCGTCTAAGCCTTTAA